AACTAAGGGAAATCAGGAACTTCAAAAATGCCGTGACCTTGTGTCATAACCTGGATACAGAAATCAAAGGGGGCACAAGGCACGAAAGAAAAAATCGAATGGTTACGAGAATCGTTAGAGATTCTCCTGATCGAAAATGCCATTTTTTAAATAAACGAGGAAGATATCAAAGAAATTACCCGAATTTTAATATACACAGCCGTTAGGGGCTAAATGATTCTTATAAAATAATTCTTTTCGTGAAAACCCAAAACCCGAATCCCAAAACATTTTCTAAAAAAGTGGGAGGATTTCGAAGTTGGGCTTTTATTGGGAAAACCAATAAATTCCAAAGCATTTTTTAAATAAAATGGGAGGATTTCGAAGTTGGGTTTTGTTAGTAAAACCCCAAATATCGATAAATCATCCCAAATATAATTTAATATATTTATTTTCCTTTCCTGTGCACTTTGACCTTTTTTCATATTCCTTTCTCACAAACACTTAGCTATAACCGGAAGGAAAAGAGATAACAATCGCCGTTAGGGGCGAACAAACACTTAAGCTTATATGCCTGTCCCGTATAAATATTAATCTTTTTCTTTCACACATTGACTTTTAATGACACTATTAATGAACATTTAACAAACTTCAATCTTTTTTGTATTACTCATACTTAAAACTTTATACTTTGTATAACTAATTATTCGAATAAATTATTATTTATTTCGACTTCTTATTTTATTATAAGACAACAATTTGCCTTAGTGCAACCACTTTATTTAACCTTCGGTTAACATTTTACCTCCGGGTAACTACTTTAATTTACCACGATTTATCACATTTTTGTGAGTTTCGATAATATTTAATAAAATTTAAAGAAAATCCTCCCTATTGATAAATGGAACTAATAAAAATAAAAACCTTCTGCCAATTTATTCGCATTCTCCAAAGCAGCCTCAGTATTCTTAAAAGGTTCAAAAGCATGGACCTGAACTATTCCTTGGAAACGTTGGGGATCGTTCATCGACTGTTGTACCTAATTATAAGCATTTTATTATAATGTATCATTCCAAAAACTTTATTTTATTTACTATTCTATTCTAAGGCAACAGTATTATCCTTAAAATTATTGACCACCACCAAATGCGAAATTTTAAATTTAAAATAAAAACCTCAGGAAGTATTTGCCCAATATCTTCAAATTCCTTTATTTTAAGCAATGTGTATCCAACAGCATGTTCGTATAAAACATAATTTGGCGCTTCCGCAGTTGACATCTTAAGCTAATTAAAACTAAATGATAATAATTAATTCAATCGAAAATATAAAATTGCGAAAACATAACAATTAAAAACAAATAATTTGAAAAATTTTATTCAAGATTAATATTTAAACTTTAGCATTAAAGTTGCGATATAGGTAATCAGGGAGTAAACAGGAAACTTAATTCAGAATTGAAAGATTATTGAATTGAGAGAATAGTCAATAAAGGTAAAATATGACAGAACGTCCCCATGACAACTTGCCAATCAGAAAATTGGAAAGTTAATGAAAACCTGCACTGCAGAAATACTAAAAATTACAATATTATATAAATGATTGTTTTTATGCCCTGTAAAGTATATTATGTAAAAACTTATATTATGTTAAGACTTAATCTTGTCCAGATTAAGTGTCCAATGAAATGGTTACAAACTTTACAAGTAAAAAAAGGCCAAAATCGCCAACTAATAAGTAATAATTTTAGATATTTATATTAAAACCCTTGATTTATAAATAATGCCTTATAAAAATTTTACTCATAGCAAATTAAAATTTATAGAATATCACATTATGTAACGCCTGGGTAATTATAAAAATACGTATTCTGAGAATTTAGAAACAACAGGGAAATTTCTTAATTTTCTAATTTTAATTAAAATACTTCTCATTAATTACCCAGACTTTTATGAATTTATAATTTAAATTAGTTATATTCCAATTAACTCCATCCCAACCAACCCGCAAAGCTAGAACCTTCGCCCTTTTGATCTTGATTTCCTTGTGGAGCTTGAGCTGTTATATTCATTCTAACCATTTCCATCTCTCGTTCATCCAAGTGTAAAATTGTTTGCAAAACAGGCAGTAATTGTGCACGTTCATCAAAAACTCGAGGTGGCGTCAGAAATTTGAGTACTAAAAGAAATATTGAATAAATTTTTTCTTATCAGAATCAAGAGCGTAGCCAAAGGGCTAGGGGAAACTTTACTAAGGGTGGACTTAATCTTTTTAATATTTCCCAATTAAATTTTAAAAAACTAACCAATATTTTTAAAATATTCTGAACAAACTTCATTTTCTAATTGTTTTGCTCTATGTTGATTTCTCTCTAAACGACGAATTTCTTCCTTGAGAAGATTATTTTGTTCATTTAATCGGACATTAATCTCTAAAATATTTACTTTTAAATGTTGAAAAATAAAATTTTAAAAACCTTCCGATTCACTCAAAAGTTCCCTACAAGAATTAAGCTGTTGAATAATTAAATTATATTCTTCATGGCTATAATATACTCGTTGTAAACCGCCATTTAATGACAAGGCATCCGAAGGTAGTTCAGATACATTAAATGAAGGAATTTCACTTAAAAATAAACAAAATTAAAAAATTTTGGACCTAAAAGAACTCCAGCGATTAAAAAACCTGTTTGGCTCAATTTCTGCTGCTCTCAACATTGACTGTAAATCATCAAGAGAATCAGTTAAACTTTCACTATTCATTGTGGCATTATCTTCATCACCTATAACAGCATTTCTATCAATAAACTCATCATCAAAACTTGATTGTTGATTTTGTAAAAAGTCTGATGGAATTTTTGTTGTTAAGTTTAAAGGTTTTGGAAATTGTTTTTGCTGTTGATTAATATTCTTCTTTTGGATCGAAATTGAAGTTTTTCGTTGTTGTTTTTGAATAAAATGTTGAGGCAAAGGAGGCGAATTGGCGGATGTTGTAAGTTTTTTCTCGTCAAATAATGAAATCTTTAAAAAATATTAATTAACTGAATAAAAATTAAAAAAAACTGACGAGCTGTTTTCAGTTAATAATTAGGTAACTAAGAAGCAAAATTTTATTAACAACCCGAATTAGTCCCTATATCAATTAAGAAAAAGGAGATTCTGGAAGGAAAAACTAGCATAAAAACGTCCTTAAACTAAATAATTCAAACAATATTGTCCCGAAATCTAATCTGCAAACAAAATACATATTAAAAAACCTTTCTTTTCGCCTCTTCTAATTCACTTTCCAAGCGTTCACATTCAATCTTCAATTCCTTTAGATTTTTAATTGCAACCATTTCCCTTCCATTAATTAATTTTAAATCATTTTCTAAAGTGATTCGAAGCATTTCTTCTTTCTTTAATTTTTGTTCAAATTCTCCAATAGTCCTCTGGCGTTCTGATTGTGATTGACGACGAATTTGTGAAATTGAATCATGCAGAGCATTTAATTCTTCTAATAAAGTTTTGGAATATTCTTGACTATTTTTGACCTCTTCTTCCAAAAATGAACATTTGGTCCTGCAAAAAGAATTCAAAATATTTGTATTGAAAAACCACACAAACAATTAATTCAACATCCTAGGATAAACAACCAGTGAGGAAGTAATTTTTCCCGTAGCAAGGGGAAATTTTTGGAGGCAAAAGGATTGTCAAAAATTTTGATTTTTGCGCCCCAAGCGATAATTTTGAGAATTTTGGAAGGACAAAATTCCATTATCTTGTCCCCTGCCTCCCGAAATTTTTCCTAACCATTTCGGGGGAGGGATTTAACCAGGCTACGGGACTGATGAACGTTATGAATAACAGTGTACATTTTTATAAAACACTGTATGAGGACAAAAAACCTAATTTCATAATTTCAGTAAATATAAAAATTGTTAAAACCTTAATTGTGAAATCAAGACATTTCGTTGTTTAAGCAATTCAAGTAATTGATCAATTTCCCCGTCAGAAGACACATTGTCTACACCAGAGTTATCTACTGCTTGAGATAGAGTTGAATTAACATTGGTAGGAACATCAGAAACCTTCGAAGATTTGAATACAAATTCAGCACGTTCCTAAAAATAAATTTTAGATAATGAAAAATATAGAGAATTGGCTATATGGAACAACAAAAATATGCAAAATTAAAACAGTCATCCTATTTAAAAGTTTTATAATTACCGTATTTTCTCGATTAATTCCCCTGGGGAATTATTGTTTCAACCTATCTCTAGCAGGGGGGATTAATCGAGGGAGGGGAATTATTCGAGGGTGGGGAATTATTAATTCAACCCATCCCTGAATTTAAAAAACTTCATGAAGCTTTGACGTTAAGTCTTCTTTGTTACTTTATATACTATTTTATATACATAGTATATATACATATAGGTATATAAAGCATGGATATATCCCCAAGCACAGAACCATATAAACGTACGAGGGTACTTGGGTCTTTATGTACCCAAATATTGGAGTATTAAGACTATAGTGCCAGATTAGGGGGCATTGTATGATACGATACTAAGAGGTTATGTATTATATCTCCCAGCACTGAACCATATAAACTTGCATGGGGGTATTATTGATAGGAGAATTATTAAAGGTAGGGTAAGTATCTGAGGGAGGGGAATTATTCGAGGGTGGGGAATTATTGTTTTAACCTGTCTTTAGAGGGGGGAATTAATCGAGAGGGGGAATTATTCGAGGGAGGGGAATTAATCAAGAAAATACGGTAGTTAACATAAAACACCATATGAGTCAAAAAGGCAACTTCGTATGTATCAGGGAACAAGCCGACATAAAAATAAAATTCACGATTTTCGGGAAATCGCGATCCAGACCCAAAAAATCGACGAGAATTTCCAATATTCGGGAATCGGGACGGCTCGTTCCTTAGCATGTATCAATCCAAAAAAGATGATGTTTTTATATTTGCTTTCAGATTCCCGATTTCCCGAAAATCGGAAATTCTCGACGATGGAATTTCGACTTAATTCATTTTAGTATCCCAACAATTTTAATCCTTAAATAAAAAAATAAATGAACCTTATAATTTTTAAATTCTTCCTCTAAACATTTAATTCTCGCTACCAAAGTATCATTCTCACATTTCAATCTTTTTACTTCAGCAAATCTAGCAGAACTTGCTCGCTGTTCATTTTTTAATTCAGCAGAATTTGTTAATAAAGATTCATTTAAAAAATTAATTTCTTGTTGCATTTGTTGTCTAGAATCATTTAATTGGACTAATAATGAAGAAATTTCCTTTGAATTTTCAGCAATTAAATTGGATTTTTCGTCAATTGATTGTTTTAATTCTGTTGATTCAATGCCTTTTTGACGAAGTTGTTCATTTGTTTCAGCCTTTTCTTCTTGTAAAGTAGCAATGTGCTGTGAAAGTTCCTAAAAATAATATTTATCATTCTCATTAAATTTTTAAGGTAAATTTTAACATTAAGCAAGGTACAATCGGGACGGCTCCCAAAACGGCGCGCGGCCATAACAGCGCAAAGCCATAACTTGCTGGAAAATGTCTGGTCCTTGTCAATTTTGGTACCAATCTTTCTAGCTCGATGAGAGGAATCGTTTGGTACTAAATCTGATAGGATTAAGAAGTTTGAAGCAAGTTATGGCTTTGTGTCGTTATGATCGCGTGCAGTTTTGGGCGTGTCCATTTTAATCCTACTCAACAAAAATTACAAAAATAACGACAAAAACAAACCTCAATCAGAGCTTCCTTTTCAGCCAATTTTTCTTTGCAGTCCTGTAAGTCTTTCTTCATTTTAACACTAGAATTCTTATAATCTTCCAATTCAACCATAAGCATTGAAGTTCCATCTTGTTTGCCTTCAAAAATGGCAATTTTTGAGGCCAATTCTTTTACTTGATTTGCATTAGCTTCACTCTAAAAATTTATTTATGATCGAAATAATTTCCCCAAAAAATAATATTTTGAAAACCTCGTTTTTACTGGCCTCCAATTGTCGTTTAAGCTCCTTCTGATTTAATAACTGCTTCTTAACCAATTTAATCAAATCATCCTTAGAGAGCGCTTCAAGCTAAAATTAATAAAATAACAAAAAGACGAGAAATAAAAAAAACCTTTGACAAATTTTGCTGAGGCTGCTTTGGTTGTTGAGGCTGTATTGATTCATTTTCAACTTTAGAATCAATATTAAGAGTAGTTGAAGCTGCTGTATTCACTTCTAAATCCTCATTCTCTCCAGATATCATTTAATATTTAAAATTTATAAAAGTTTGTATGACAGCTAAAATTCAAGAAATTAAAAATATTTGTTGCCAACCAGAGAATTAAAAACAAAATTTACCTTAAATCGTTTGCTTGACTTTTTATTATTTTAACATTTTTAACGTTTCCCGCCGAAATATCAAAAATGAGCAGTCCAAATGTCCTAGAATCGACAAAATGTATTTAGGGAAATTTGTATATATGGACAAACGACAATTGGACAGTAAGACAATTGGGCTACAAAGGTCCGTAAATGTTTTTCTGGCAACTCCATAATTCGTCCCACTCAGACTCGTCAAACCTAAATTCGTCCCTCACACATTTCGTCCCACCACGATTCATCCCAATAAACAAAAACAGTACAAAATCCATTAATTCGGCCTACTTCTCCATGTCATTACTTGCCGAAGACGTTTCTGTTGACTAAAAAACCAAGCCCCTCTTTAGGGCCACAAATTTAATAAGTCCTCTTAAATATTCTTTTAAAATAATTTTAGTGCATATGTTTATAAATTATCAAAATATCATAAAATTAAACATAAATATCTATGTAAATATTTTCTATTTATTTTACATGTATTGAGGATTATTTCTACTATTGACCGTAATAATTCTAGACTTTTCATTAAAAATTTCATAGCTTTCAGGCATTTGAGAATAACCATTTTGGATGTTTTTGTGTTGATAAACAAATTTAGTTGTAGTTGTTAATAAAAGCTAAGAAATTTATTTAAAAACATTATTTTCTTAAAAACTAACTGTGATAGCTAAAAAGGCAGTAATAAAAATTAAAATCCAAAATGCTGATACATTTAATAATTCTGAAGTTGATTCTTTTTTATTTAGTTGCGGTGAATTTTGATAATTATCTGTTAATTTAAGCAAAATTATTTTTAGATAATTTTAAATTATTTTTTTAGTTATCATGATTTAGTTAACATGATATTTGACATTGTCCTATGATATTAGGTTATCCAAGGTAATAACAGAGCAATAATTCCAAAAACTAACTGATTTGACAAAATTTTATTTAAAAATAATTTAACCATTTTTAATTATTTCTGTATTATTTTCATTTTCTTCTTCTTCCGAAAAATCATTTGAATGTAAAACGGCAAAAGAAGATCCAATTATAGGCAAAAAAGGCTTAATAGCTTCTTCAAATTTATTTTTATCTTGTTTATTTCCAAATAAATCTAACCAATTATCTTCTTCCTTATCCTCTTTTTTGAAAAGAAAATACTTAAATATTTGTAAATAATTTACCTTTATTACTATAATTCCCTTCAATATTTTGACGGGCTTTTCTCTCCACAATTGGCATATCATGTAACCAAAAATCTAAGCCTTTCACATCCTTACAAGGAAACATTCTAACTGTAGCCAAACTCCAAAATTCGAAAACTTTGAACCCCTATAACTTTCCGAAATGGGAGTTAGGGCCTAAAAAGCCAAAAATGGGCAATATGTTATCGACCCTGTTCTACACGATGTTGTGCACAAAAAATGCAAAATTTTGGCTACAATCAAAATGTTTCCTTGTTAGAATAAATATTAATGGAAGTTTTATTTAATCAAAGAATCGCAACTTTTGCCCAACCCTACAGTAACTATACTTTATTCACAAATTATTGCCTGATATCCATCAACATTATGAGGTGCTTCCAAAATTGTATTATTGTCGCTAACATTAAAAGTTATTCGAAAATAATTTCTTCCATTCCAAGTTTGAGGTCTCCAACTTTTATCAGGAGAATGTCCTCTTATAAAATTTTTAACCATTTTTGGATAATAATTATTCATTAATTTTAAATCAGTTCTATTTAATTCAATTGGATGAAGTCCAATAAAGAAATACCTTTTTTTAATATTTAAATTAAAATATTTATATAATTTACATATCACTAGCATGGTTCGAGTAATTAGCAATTTCAAATTCACCAACATAACTAACTCCACCGAATCTTGTATTTACTAAAGATGCTAAAAATGCTTCAGAATGTATAGATTCATAAGAAACACGCATATGTGCTAAAAATTTATTTAAAATTATTTTTCTGATAAATATTTATGTGACTAAATAATTATTATTATTTTTATATTTTGATATAATTAAGATAAAAATTCAAATCAAATTTAAGGATAAATTAAATTTAAAGAATATTATTTTTAATTAATTGATAAAATATTTAAAAAATTTTCTAATTTAATTTTGACTCTAAAATTTAAAAAGAACTTTAATTTTAATTTAATTTTTTAAAAATTAAATTTTTACTTGATATATTAAATTCATCTTTATATCTATCAAAACAAGCATTATATGATTGGAGAGAATAATAACCAAAAGTTCCTGTTGCTTTAAAACATTCCTTGTCTAATCTATCATCTGACCAACGATCAAATTCAATTATTGTTGTTGTAATCATTAATGGAATTGGCTAAATAAATTATATTTTTTTATTTCCTAAATTAATCCAAAAACCTTCCAATTTCTTAATAAATGTACAAAATTATCAAATGGAAGTATTTCTGTATCTGACTCGGGTCCACTAAAAACAAGACCAAAATTTTCGTTGTATTGTTGTTGTCGTAATAAATCTAATGAATCAACTTTACGTAAACATTCAACTTTTTGTTTATCAGAAAATGTTTTGTTTGTTGAATTATCTCGAAGGCACTAGAAAAAAATAATTTTTAAAATGAGAATTTATTTAAAAAATGTTTAAAGTGTTTTATTAACTCAAAAATTCGATATTTAGTTTTCATTTTTTGGAAAAATTGTTCCTATAAAATAAATTACAGGATTAATTTGAAATTTCATTGTAATCTTTGGAATCCTCTCTCGTGAGTAAAAATGTATTTGGCAAAAAACAGCCTAACTATTTTATATGTGCGAATTACCTCCTTTCAATTAATTACCCCCTCTAGCGAGAGGTTGAAACAATTACCCAGGGTAATTATTTGAATAAATACGGTAATTAATATTTTATAAAGAAAACTTTTACATTAAAATGTTCTAGAAGAGCAAAACTTTGTTTTAAATTTGCATCTTTTGTAAAAAAAGGAACTCCAGAACTAATGAATGCCTGTTGAAATAATCCTTCCCTTACAGCTGGAGAACCACATAAATAAATTAAAGCAGAAGCACCAGCACTATTTCCCATTGCTTTTTTTATAAATGAAAATTATTTTAAAAATTATTAAAAATACCTGTAATTCTTTTATTATTTCCACCAAAATTGTGAATTTCTTTTTGAACCCATTCTAACGCAAAAATTATATCTACATAAATTAATATTTAAATATTCCCCATTTATTTTTAATTAATTAACCATGCATTGCCAAATTCCTTTTAACAGTTTTATCATTCCCTAAATCTAAAAGACCAAAAACCCCTAAACGATAAGCAGGAATTACAAAAATAATTCCATCAGATGAATATTTTTGTATAATTTGTGTGTCATTAAACATTGTAGCAGAATCATAAGCAAAGCCTCCACCATGAATATAAAATAGAATTGGGCAGTTTTTGGTTTTCTAAAATTATTTTATTTAATTTTTGACAAAGTTAGAAGTTGATACACCCTTTGGACTATTGAAAAATTGTATCTAAAATCGAGAGTGTCCATTTTTGGTGGTAGGCAATTATCCCTCCCCAACCCGGTCCTAGGCAACTCTCCTCCCATAAAAGGCATTCATGGTGTATTTATTTTGGTGTATGTAAAATCCGATTAAATTTTTGGCTTTCCAATTTATTTCACATCAGACAATAATTAGTAATTATCACAAAAAGAAGTATAAAAACTTGCCAAACATTTAGGGCTAGTAAATATATTAATATAAATACAATCTTCAGAAATATATTTTTGTGGAGAACGAGTGCTTGTTGTATTCTTGAAAATATTTAAATAAAAAAATTAAAAATTAATTTATCCTTAACAAACTTACACTAAGACAAGCAGCACTATATTTAGTTGCATTTAATATTCCATTCCAAGGTTTTTTCTCCTTTAAAGGTAAAAACCGAAGCTTTCCAATTGGAGGCTCAGAAAATGGAATTCCCTTTAATTAAATAAATAATTAATTATTTATTTAAATAAATTAATTACTTCAAAAACAATTGCTGGTTTATTCTTTCCAGCTACAAAAGAAACTCTCCCTTCAATTTTACCTCCAGTCAATTCAATTGTTGGATTTTGACAATAAACACATTTTGTCTGTTAAATTAAAAGAAAAATATTTTTTTAAATTTTCCCTTTGTATTACTTTGGTATCCTCAAATTCCTTTGTTTTATTTTTGAAATTATGCCCATGACGATTAAATATCCGATCAAAAATATTTTGTTTGCTAAAAACATTTAGTTTAAATTTTTTATAAAATTAAATAATTTATTTTACTTAGTATTTTCTGAATTATTATTTAATCCAATAATTTTATTTAAAATAAGAAATAGAAAAAATAATATAAATAAATATTTCATTTAAATTTTAATAAAATTTAATTAAACAAATCTTTAAATTGCAAAATAAAAATAAATATATTTACTATTAAATATACACTAATAAATACACTTTTATTAACTTTATGATGATAAAAATATTTCTGATAAATAAATTATAAGAAATATATCAATATATTTATTTATTTACCTTATCTGTAATTTATCGAAAAAAAGAATTAAAAACATATCATAATTACATTTATTTCACAAAAATTAAAAGTTAACATTTGAATAATTTAATGTTTCAATGTCTCTACTAAATGTAATAATATTTTTTGGTCAAGTTTGTGGCTGTTTTCTCGCTAAAATCTTGTTGCTCGGAAACTTTCTTTTCATATCCTTTTTGCATCTAAAAGTCAGTCAGTTTTATTCATAAGTTGTACGGATAAAAAAAAGTAATAGAAATTAGAAGTCTGTAATAAATATTCTGACTTTTTAAAATCTTGGATTAGTTAGTACGGTAATCTGTCGGAGATTTATAGCTAGTTGATCAACGCTATGATAATTAAATGTATTTACACAGGAGTCTTTGCTCACGAATTACCTTGTTAAAGTTTAAAATTAAATTTAAATTAATGTGAAGAAATCCTCATATTTGGCCATAAAATTTTACTTTGCTTAAAAAGTACGTTTTCTAAAGCTAAATATTTAGTTTTTTTCGAATTTCTGATTTAACAAAAAATATTTAAATTTTAAATTAATATTTTTTAAATATTTTTTTCCTTCCTTTTGATTATTTTTTGTTCCATTTTTTAAGACTATTTTTTGTGTAAAATTAAAAAAAATCAGGGCAAAAAATCGCCGACGGGTCCGTTCCTTTTTTTATTTAAAAACCAATTTTAACAAACAATTAAATTAGTTAACTAATTACGTAGTTCATCAAAGAATTCATCAAAGATTCATCAAAGACCAAGGCTAAAATAAAAAAAAATTGGAAAAAATAGCTAAAAACAAGAATATAAGAAATGAAAAAAAACAAATAAATATTTATATCCGGCTTTTAAATAATAATTTTTTATTCCTAATTTTTGAATATTTCTTAAACTAAAAAATTTTTTTATAAAATTAATTTATTTTTACAATTTTTTTAATTTAGTAAACTATTAAATGGGTAAAATTATTTTCTTTATTGTTGCTAATAAATACATACAAGTAGGGTTGCCGTTTTTGGTTCGAGCCGACGTTCGGTGCATATTTTTCGAGCTTGTTTTTTTCGATTCGGTTTGTACGAGCTTTTCGAGCTGAAAAGCCTCGGCTCGCTCGATCTTTCGAGTTTCGGGTCGAGCGAGCTGGCAACCCTACATACAAGTATTTGGTGCTGAAAACGATCTAGGATTATTTCTTAATATTTCTAGTGACCCCCAATCCCGACCCCCAATCATTGACTCATAATGGTAAACATCAATTTTTTTCTAAAAAAATTTAAAGTTCTCCCTTTTTTCCAGTCGTCCTTCACATTTTCTTGTTACTACATAATATAACAGACATTTATTTAGCAAAAATAAGTTGATTGTTTATATTGGCCGCCGAGAAAAAATTTTATAAAGCAACAACAACAAAAAAAGTTTTTGCACTTTTTGAAGGTAAAAGGCTGAAGAAAAGGTCATTTTTGATTTTATCTTGTTTTTTTTCCGTCGAAGAATTGGAAATATTATTTTGCACTATATTTTTTAAATAAAAAATAATTTTAAACTAAAAAAGTGCATTAAATTCTTCCTGATTTTTTTGCTATTTTTTACACTTTTTTGTTATTATTGCTACCTGAATATTTTTAAAATGTTAAGAAAAATAGTTTTTAGTTTTGTAATGAGGAAATAAACAAAAATAGTAAAAATAAAAAAAAATATTTTTTATTCAAATTAAAGTACATTTAGATTTTTAATTATTTTTTAAAATAAATTTATATTAAAATAAAGAATTTGGAAAAATTCGTTCATTTTTTTGATACTGTCAAAAATATAGACACTAAATTGAGAACACATATAGGGTGGTTGGCTCCTAGAAATTTTTCGGATAGCCGAAACCGGCACCTCTTAAATCCGGCACCTCTTAAAGCTACTTATAGACCTACGAATTTAAAAAAATCAAATAAAATATATAAATTATTCATGTTATTTAACAGTTTTAATCATCTAGGTACATACCTATACATATATCAAAAATTAAATTAATTTTTTTGCAAATTTTACCTGAATAAAATTCAAATATCAAATATTTCTTTTTTTATTTTAAATTTCCTTTTAGAATATGTACATATACATGTAAATGTCCCCATTTCTATTTTTTTCATTTCATAGAATCTATTTCCTAATTCTTTGAATATTTCACTTTTTATTAGTTCATTATTCAAAAATCTTTTGTTCCTGATTTGGATATAAATTTAAATTATATTTTTTATTTAATACAATTCAATAAATATTTTTTTGACCTTCCAAATTTGTCTTGACTATAATTCCTGTCTGAAATTTAAATATCAATTTAGTACCTTTGTTTAATTAAATATAGAATTTCTAAAAAATTTTTCTTTAGTTTCCGAGAACTCGAAACTTTGAAAACTTTAAGAAATTTTGAAAAGTTAGAAAATTCTGTGTTTTATCATCTTCACTAATTTCAGCTTCAATAAATATCCTCTCCACCCCCTTCCCCTCAAAAAACTTAACTAATTATTAAATATATTTTTATTTAAAATTATTTTAATAATTAATGACTTTTTCTAACATAAAAATAATTTAATCTTCTTTTTTTTCATTATAAATTTAAACAATTTACGTATTTCCTTTTTGTCTACTCACATGCTTCTCTTTTATTTTTGGGGAGGAAATATTATTAATTATTAAATAAATAAATTGCACTTTCCGCGCATTTGTATGTACTTTTAAAAAAATAAATAATTATTTCTTTCATCAATTATAAATATATGTGCTTCGATCTTTTCTTTTTAATTTATTTGTACTTTTATTAAGCTTTCTTTCTCTCTCCCTTTAAATTTTTGAGGAAATATTAAAAGTAAATGTGTACTTGTATATTTAATTTGTACTTTTCTCTATTTCCGACAAAAAATATTTTAATATATTAAGCGGAACCAGACAAAATAATTATTTTTTTATTAAATAAAACACAAATAAAAGTGCTTTTAGGTGTGTAATTATTTTTAAAATTAATTTTTGGACTAATATAATGGTGATTTTTGTAATAATTTTCAAAAAATTAAAAAAGAAATATATTTAATTAATTTAAAATATTTTTTTAAAAATTAAAAATGTCTAAATTTCTTTTAATAAATAGCGGAAATACTAAAAAAATATTTTAAATAAATTTTTCAGCTTTTTAGAGGTACTTTGAATCACGATTTTTGTCTTAACTCGTGATTCTTTTGTACTTTCCCAATTTTTTAAGTTTTTATTTTTTGGCAAAAAAAATTTTTTGGTAGAAAGCCAAAAATAGAAAATATACATTTATAATTCTTTTTTTTGGAATATTTCCAAAAATAGTTTTTAAAAAGCCGCCAGTTATTTTTGCGTAAGCGTTTGGACGTTTGTTTTAAATAGAGGGGAAAGACGAATGCAAAAATTATGTACGTTTCCAAAAAATATTTCTTTGTGAGAAAGGAACAGATGTAATAATAAAAAGTGATTAACTGATTGTAACTATATTTTTGTAAAAAAAATTAATTTAATTAATTTAAAAATAAAAATATTATTAAAAATATGCCAAATAAAATATCAACTTTTATTAAACTAAATATAGAATTAAAAATTAATTTGGAAACTTATAATTTAAATAAAGAATTGCAACTACCTAAAGAATTTCAATTTAGTTTACTAATTAATTTAATAATACACTCTGTTCCAAACTTATAAGGTTACCCTATTTTTTTATCATATCTTATTGAAAAATCGTCGAAATTTTTTAAAATTTCTACACAAAAAATTTCGACGTTTTTTCAATAAGATATGATAAAAAATAGGGTGACCTTATAAGTTTGGAACAGAGTGTAACCTTTCTTCAAAATTTCTTTTCTCACTTTTCTTAGTCCTCCAGATTTGGGTGGCCCTCGAGAGGATTTCTATATTTAAAGAGAATTACCCCCTCTAGGGACCAAAAATCCTTTAAACAAAAAAATATATTTAGAAAATTGAAAAAAACTTTTTTTGGTTCATGTACTTTTTTCTAATAAAAAAAAAGAAAATGCCAAAGTTCAAAGCCAAACAAAGTACATACTTTGCGTGCATTTACGTTACTTGTACTTTTTAATTTTGGCATTTATTTAGCATCATTGCCAGAACAAAGAATTTTATTTTATTAAATTTAAAAAAAACTATTTTTATAAAAACCTACTTACATCATTCTCTTTTTTCTGTATTATACTTTAAATACACGAAACAAGTGCAAGCTCTTTATAAATAATTATTTTAAATTAATTACTGTATTAAACGTCATAACTATAGGGCTAATCAAAATTTTGAATTTTTCTATTAATAATAAATTGCTACATAGGCAAATCAAATAGTATATTAAAATATTATGAGAGGAGTACTTATACTTAAAATAAAATTGGTAGGGATCATGGATAGTTCATTTTATTATCGAAGATCCAGTCCACGAAGATCCAGAAACCTGTAGAGTAACTGTTCGTAAATAACGCATATAGGTATTCGTCCAGAAAAGCCTGTCTCCAACAAATTAACATTCATAAATTTATTCCAAATTATGAATCTAATTATTTAAATAATGATATATTTACATATTTAATTAATTTAAGCACTTCAATGAATATAGTATTTAATTTTAAAATTAAATTTTATAATATCTAAAATGATAGAGACTTTAAAAATATTTAAATAAAATTTAATAATTAATTTATTTGTGTTTGTTCATTTTCTAGAATTTTAATATTTTTATATACCTACATATTTAATTTAAAATTCGAAAAACTTGGAAATCTTCCTTTTGTTTCAATTTAATTTTTCCAAAAATAC